AACATAAACCAATGAAAGACAGTACATGTAATACTTTCCTCACTTCAATTTTGCTGACCTTAACTGGTATCAAATGCTGTCACTGAGATATTTTCAAAGAACAGTGAGCTGTATTTAATTGATGTGCATTCATTTGCATTGAAGCATTAAAAGCATTTTCCTTAAATCTCTTCAAGGCCTTCTTGTTACTGTTAGAACAGTGTTATACCAGGTATGTGACCATTTCCTTCAGAAGGCTGAGCAGAAGAGATTTTTACTCAACAATACTTAGATGTCTAACCAATTAATTGCTACAGAGCTTTATAGATAGAGAAATGACTTAATCAATTAGTAAATAAAATTGTCTATGGCAGGATTATTTCTTAAGTTAATATTAATCCTTTAACTGATTTTTCTGGGATTATATGATTTTTTTTTTTTACATAAAAGCCTTGAATACATGGGTCTTTGGGGGACAACCATAACATTTATGTAATCAGATACAAGAATAGCTTCCAGCCCATGTGAAGTCGGGGCCTCAGACATCAGACATAGCAATAGGCAACATGTCTTGTTCCTTGTGGCTCTACTTCCCATCTTTTTTTTTTAAGATTTATTTTATTTTTATTGGAAAGTCAGATTTACAAAAAGGAGGACAGAGAGAAAGAATTTTCATCTAATGGTTCACTCCCCAAGTGACTGCAATGGCTGGAGCTGCACTGATCTGAAGCCAGGAGCCAGGAGACTCCTCCAGGTTTCCAATGCAGGTGCAGGGTCCCAAGGCTTTGGGCCTTCCTTGACTGCTTTCCGTGAGCAGGGAGCTGGATGGGATGCAGGGATGCCAGGATTAGAACACACGCTCATAAGGGATTCTGGCACATGTAAGGCAAGGAACTTAGCCACTAGGCTACTGTGCTGGGCCCAGCTCTACTGCTCTGTGCACCAACTTCATTTTCAGTCTGGTTTCTTTAGTGTCGCACCTCCCAGGCACTACATACATATATAATCTCTAGACCTCAAGTCTTACAGAGTAAGGACTTTTATGTACCAGTATTTCCAACTAAAGTCCTGAACTTGTGTGTCATTGGCTTGTCAGATCACTTACTCTTTCCTGAACCAATGACTAAACAGTGAGCCATGATAGTCTGAGAATGAGGCAAAAGTACAGTCAAATCCACTGACCCACATTGGGGAAAGAGCGCAAGGAGAAGAATGCTCCAGAAGGAAGTCAAGGTTCTACAACAAGAAGAAAGGGTGCGTGCAAACAACAGAAACCCAGACATTTACTGTCAGGAACTAGATTCTCCCCTGACACATGCCGGCAGGCAACCCAGAGCTGACGTATTACCCAGTGGTGTCCGGCAGACACCATTACATTGTATTCTACGTGAGATGGGCAACACAACGACCCTGCCTCTCCTCCGGGCAGGCGGAGTGAATCAACACTAGGTATCAGCCTAGACAATCACATTTTTACGATGAGTTCTGTCCCAATAATTTGTTTAAAAATCTACTGCATGCCATTTCTGTAGCTTTATTAATCCCACAAATCTTTCAGAACATACACAGACTTACCCCTCTGGAGCTAGAGCTGACAAATGCATTTATCATGCAACTGCATTTCAAACTCTGCAGTGTGTGATTAATTTGTATTTGAGAAGATATTCTACAGAGGACATCTGTTCTCACTGGGGCATGGCTTAATGAAGGGATGCAGACCTAGAGACTTCTGGAGGCTAGGTGAAGCAAATTTTTGAAATTATCACCTTTTTTGGAAAAATAGAACAAGAACATGTGAATAGTGTTTTTCCAAAAAATTGCTGAATGAAGATTTTGATTTCCTATTTATAACTACAAGAGGCTTCAAAGAATTCATGGAAAAATCTCTCTCTCACACACACACACATGATTTTGAGAGACAAAGAGAAATGGATTCCATGCAATAGTTCATTGTTGTCTAAATGCCTAAAATTGCTGGAAGTAGGTCAAGGCCAAAAGCAAGAGCTGGAAAGGCAATTCAGGCATGTCAATGACAAGGAACCAATTTCTGGAGCCGCTATCAAAGTCTAGCGGTAGAAGCTAGAATCTTGAGTTGGAGCCAGGAATCAAACTCGGGCATTCCAATGTGGAAGATGGGCATTTTAACCACTAGGCTGAATGCCTACTCCTTCCTTCATGAACTTTGTGAAGTTCCCGTGCGTCTGTAAACTGTCATATTATTCCCCACAAGGGCCATTACCTTCTGAAATTGCAGAATTTGCTCTTCAGGGCTGCTACTTCCAATACGGCTCTCTAACAGTCTGGAAAAACAGTGGATGAAGGTCCAAAGGCTTGGGCTGATGCACCCACTTATTTTTTAAAGATTAATTTATTTTGGGCCCAGTGGTGTGGCCTAGTGGCTAAAGTCCTTGCCTTGAACGCGCCAGGATCCCATATGGGAGCCGGTTCTAATCCTGGCAGCTCCACTCCCATCCAGCTCCCTGCTTGTGGCCTGGGAAAGCAGTCAAAGACGGCCCAAAGCTTTGGGACCCTGCACCCGTGTGGGATACCCAGAAGTTCTGGGTTCCTTGCTTCAGATTGGCATAGCATTGGCCGTTGCGCTCACTGGGGGAGTGAATCATTGGACGGAAGATCTTCCTCTCTATCTGTCATCCTCTCTGTATATCTGCCTTTCCAATAAAAACAAATTAATCTTTTTTTTTTTAACGATTTATTTATTTATTGGAAAGTCAGATATACAGAGAGGAGGAGACACAGAAAGGAAGCTCTTCCATCTGATGGTTCACTCCCCAAGAGGCTGCAACGGCTGGAGCTGAACCAATCCAAAGCCAGGAGCCTCTTCCAGGTCTCCCACACGGGTGCAGGGTCCCAAAGCTTTGGACTGTCTTCAACTGCTTTCCCAGGCCACAAGCAGGGAGCTGGATGGGAAATAGAGCCAGTGGGATTAGAACCTGCGCCCATGTGGGATCCCGGTGTGTTCACTGCAAGGACTTTAAACTGCTACATCATCATGCTGGACCCATGTACCCACTTTCAAAACACAGCAGCAGGCAGTAGCCTAGTAACTAAAGTCCTTGTCTTGCATGTGCCAGAATCACAAATAGGCACTGGTTCTAATCTTGGTGGCCCTGCTGTAGCCTGGGAAAGCAGTCAAGAGCTCAAAGCCTTGGGACTCTGCACCTGTGTGTGAGACCCAGAAGAGGCTCCTGGCTCCTGATTGGTTCAGCTCCAGCCACTGCGGCCATTTGGGGAGTGAATCAGCAGAAAGAAGATCTTCCTGTCTCTCCTCCTTTCTGTGTCTGACTTTCCAATAAAAAATAAATCATTAAAAAATTTTAAAAAAAACAGAAGCATTTTTGCTTTGGAATGGCTCAGCTCTGGCTGTTGTGAACATTTGGGGACTGAACCAGTGGATGGAAGGTATCTCTGTTTCTCCTTCTACTTTTATAATTCTGTTTTTCAAATAAAAATAAATCTTTAGAAAGGAAATAAAAGTCAGATTAAAACTCAACAGGAGTACCTACTGATTGCTCCCATTCCTAGAAGCTGTAAGATAACTTACCTGAAGCTCGAGATGGCTGTGGTGAGATTATTTAGTTTCCCCTTTCCACCTTCCCCATAAGGACCACATCCACCCTGCTTCTAGCAAGTGAACCTCCAGCAGCCAGAAAACAACTTGTAATTCCTCACAAGTTTCTAAGAGTTAGAAACGCTAAATGAACAGAGCACATGACATCTCAACCCCTTTCAGGCCTGTAGTGTTTGTTCTTGCCCTATGATGTTAGTGAGCAGACTTCAGACAGTTGTCCCTAACAATCCACTGACAACAGTATTTCTGGAGGGCACCTAATTCAACCTGATCCGGATAAGTCGGGAGTCCTATGGGGTAAGGCAAACTGTAGTTTCTTATTGCTAAGGAAGAGTTCCAGAAGAATCGGTTTTGATGTGTGAATTTCTTTAGCTCAGCAGCACACAACCGTGGCTGCCAGTGGAGCCACCAGACAAGGGCTGAAGAAGCTTCAAGCATGACATCCAGACCCTATCCTCAGACAGGCTGCTTTAGTGGCCTGGAACATAAAAACAAACAAACAAAAAAAGAAGCCCTGTGAGTGTGAATACACAGCCAAGATTGAGGACCCCTGTTTTAGTTACTTCTAGATGTCTCCTCATCAACATTTAGGAATCCCTCCTTAACCCTTAATATTCACATAGGAAACATGAATTGGTTGCTCTATTTCTTGAGTCTTGTGAATCAGGGTTCATTCTCTCCCTGGACTTAACTCAGAGCCTGACTCGAGAATCTGTCTTTCCATCATCAATTGTTCTACAGCAGCTGTGAGCCTCCCGCAAGGAAGCATCGTGGAGCGCCCGTGGATTCTCATGATTAAAGGCAACAGTTTGAAAAGCTGAAGGATGGCTGATGCTGTTGGCTTTCTTCCCTTCCAGAATAGACAGGCTGTGGTACAGCCTTTCATCCTATTCAGATACAGAGACCAATTCCAAAGACCCCACATTTCCTTGATGGTCTTTGTCTACAGCTTATCCTTTGTTACCAGTCTGGCTATTACAGGTTTTTTTTTTTTTTAATGTTTTTAAGCAAAAACAACAACAAAAATCAATGAGCCTAGTTAGCTTAAAGAAGTGAGAGTGAATCTGAACAGAAGCTGAGTTACCTCACAGATGAAACTATTAAACAGCCAAAACTCAGGAAACACAAAATCTCTGAAAACTTTCTTTGAGAGCTTCCCAGTTCTGACAGCTCTCAGCCTCTGTGTCTCAAGCTGTAAACTCTGTATGGCTTAGTGGGTTTTAGGTCTTTCCTATCAACTAGCTGCAGCACTGAGTTACGATGGCAGGACACAGATGTTACCTGAAGGGTTGCTTCCAGAAAATGGGACAACTGAAGCAGACAGCGACACGGCCAAAGTCCACCTCAGTTCCCTGTATTTGTAAATGTGCGTTCCCTACAACAGATGAACAACAAAGGACAAAGAGGCACACACAACATCACACACAAGAAATTGGGTAAGCAATTTTAATCATTAGTGATAAACAGTGAAAGTGCAACTACATGAAAAGCCTCATATTTTACAGAGTGAAACAGGGTTTCAAGGTTGCTACTTGTAAGGCGTTGAAGGAGGGACCCACTCCTGAATCTTCTTTCTGGTGGTAGAATAAGGTACGTACTGTTCAGGCGTGCCACTCACGTTGAATTTATGGTTTGTCCAAATGAATTTCCGGGCAGTGGGTGGTTTTGTTGTTGGAGGATCATCGGTCATGCAGTGAAGCCAACGATGCCTTAAAGAGGGGGGAGATGAGGCAGTTACAAAGAAGCCACATAGTGTAGTGGTAGAGGCGGGAGGAGGTCCCGTGCAGCTCCGGAACCATCTGCTGCTGGGGTTTAAACCCAACGCCACCACTTACCAGCTGAGTGGTTTTTCATCTCAACGTCATTATTTCCTAGGAATGGTTATAAGGATTAACTGAGATTCTATGATGCACAAGTACCTAGAAAAAGTCTTGTGTGTGGTAGGTACTCAACAAATGATAACCACTGCTGCTGTCGTCACTGTTTCATCAATGCTAAGAAAGCAGCCATTTTCAGGTATGCCACTGATGTTCCTCAGAGGAAGAAAAAAAGCATTGCTGTTGAATTATGAAATACTGTTGGCTATAAGAGGTATCTTAATTTTTTTAAAGGCTTGTTTGTTTATTTGAAAGGCAGAGTTACAAGGAGAAGAGGAGACAGAGTTCTTTCATCTGCTATTTCCTTCTCCAAGTCACTGCAATGACTGGTGCTGGGGCAGGCCAAAGCTAGGAGCCAGGAGCTTTCTCCCACTTGGGTGTAGGGCCCAGGGACATGGGTCATCTTCGGTTATTTTCCTAAGCCATTAGCAGAGAGGCAGACTAGAAGCAGAGCAGTCAGGACTCAAAACATGCTCACATGGGATGCCAGTGCTGCAGGTCACAGCTTAACCCACCGTGCCATAGCATTAATCCCTAGGCATCTTAATTTTAGACATAAAAATGCAGAGCAGCTTCAGTGAAATATCATACTGTTGGGTGCAGAGGCTGAGCTGGATTTTCAGTATGCTCAGCAGCTCTGGCTCATGACTTGAGACCATGAAGCTCCAGCTGAGAAGAAAATCTGCAGGTATCCCAGACTTGGCCTGGAGCTGAACACTGTAGAACACACAATTTGCTATACTAAAAATGTTACATCACAGCCCCAGGTCACAGCGTTTAGGTTCTAAGTGCTTGGCAATTCATCTCAAAGGGTATCTGATGTGAGGGGTGACAGACAGCTGACCCAAAAGCTGGGTACATGGCACAGAAAGGGAAGAGATTGTGATGCTGCTAACGAGCATGTGACAGAACAGAAGCAAGCAAGATGTTAAGCTAAGAGCTTCATGTGGGAAAGACAGAGCTGACAGAGGTCGGCCCAGATTCCCAAAGACAAGGAGTTCAAAGACAGTGATGACTCTATGGGAAAAGGGAAAGAGGGGACAGTCATGGAATCACAGCTCCAAGAGAAGCAAAGGGGATAGGTGGGGAGGATTAGCCAGTGGCAGAGAAAAGGACAAGAGGAGGAGGGTTTTGGTGGCATAAGTAAAACCAAAGTTAATGACAAAAACAGACAACTCTATGTAAAAATATTTGCTGCAAAAAATTGGTAGATATAGTTAGGTAACTGGCTAAAACCACTAAGAACAGAGATAAAACACGTTTGTATCTAAAGAGACGTACAGCATGATCTGCTGACCGGCAGAGAAGGAAGAAGCCCTCTGAAATGAGGATGTCTTCTTCGGAGGACTAGTGCAAGTGACAGGACAGATGTGCCCTGGCGATGAGCAGCACTACCCATCCTGAGCTGACAGCACTGCAGCAGACTCCAGGGAGCACTCAGAGGAGAGACTGCCTGTCAAATCCAAGGCTGCCACTTGCTAAGGGACTGTTTGTGAGCCTGGAATATAGCAAATATATGTAACTTTTGCCTTGTGGAGTCAGCTTAAGCAACCAAAATAAAATTTCATCTAAAGAACTGCTATCAAGAGCTGGGACTGGGTGCAAATCATGACAAGCTGGACCACAGTACTGACTGCCTGGCAGGCACAAGATCCAGAGCTGGAGTGTGGGTGCAGTAGGGGAACTGTGGGTACTCTCTTCCTGGCCTGCAGTTACTATTGGTGAACATGAGAGTCAGGGGTAGAGGCAGGCCAGGCTGGTCAAGGCAGCAGCACCTACTGGTGCACGTAAGAGCCAAGTGAGATGTGGGGCAGATTGGGTTAGGCAGTAGCACATGCTGGCACATGCAAAAACCAGGGCAAGGGGTGAGCCTAATGAGGGTTACTGGGGATTGCCAGACTAGGTCGTGGCACCGGCTGGTGTACATCAGGACCAGGCCTGTGATGGCTGGGCTGGGCTAGGCCTGAGTACCCATTGGTTCTTGGGAGAGATGGAGCTGGGGGTTGAACTGACAGGCAGCTGCTATCTACCGCTATGTGCGCTGGTTGGTGCACACAAAAGTCAAGTCTGAGGTCACCCCCGGCAAGGTTTCTTGGGGGACATCCCATCTAGATTGCTGGACACAATCTCTGACACAGGGAAAATCACAATATATGGGGTCTGACCTTGGAATGCACATGTCAGGACTGGGCCTCCTCAGTTGCTGATGCCTATGCAGTGGACAACGTGTCCAAATACACACAGGGGACATCACAACATCAAGGCCAGCAGAGGATGTTGAGCATCTTGTCAGAAAGTGTCAAGCACAGCAGTTTGGACAATTCTCTGGGCCAAGCTTTGTAGGAAGTATCTGGGTCTGTGGATCCACACTGAGGTGGACTTGGTCAGCCAGCAGACCTTGGAAACACTCAATCCTGTTGCAACGAAGCAGATGATGTCTCAGAACCATCAAACCACTCAAGTAACACTCTCAGAACAGCGATCCCCATGTTGGGTCTCTAAGGTGTCATTAAATGACTGTCCTCTCTCCCTGGGCGCGGGTGTAGGTTGATAGCAAGGAGTATTTCCCTCTCTCCCCTTACTCCCAAGCAGACCAGGAGAATAAAAAGAACTGAAAACAAAACAAAAACAAAGAACTGCTGTTGGAACCTGGGACTCCTGAAGCCTAAAATGGTAATTGAGGACCTAATCACAGACCTTATTTACCCTTGCTTAGTTACATAAATGAGGAGTTCCTGAGAAGCAGAAAACATTCAAAGATTATTTTTATCACAATAAAAACATCTGAGCATGTGTACCTTGGCAAGGCTACAGACAAGAGTCAGGGAATGAATCAACATACTCCAAACTCATTATGGCAGTTTATAAAGAACTAAGAAACAAGATGATGTTTAGAGTCTGCTAGGCAAACAGAACTCTTCTGTTGTTTGTTATTATCATTATTTAAAAAAAGACAAAGAAACTAGACCTTTTAGATCTCTACACTAAGGGCTTACACAAGGTGCTTTTAAAAAGTTCTTGGAAATGAAATGAAAACATACACTTTTTTTCAGGAAACACATCTTCCATGAACTTTCTGAAGAGCCTTTGTTTTTCTAAAACATGTTTTTAGCTAGGTTATTCTTTTTTAAATAATTTCATTTTCTAAATAATGATTACATGGTTGATCAGAGTGCGAAGGATTGAGGTTGAATTCATTGCTTCCAAATTTGTTATTTCTTCTTCTTATTCCTGGGGTAAGGGGAGAAGCAAATGGAGAATACACTCAGGACTTTCCGCACGTACCAGTATCCAGGAATGAGGAACCACCGCCGGGCTGGGTCATTCTTATTCTAACGAAAGATGGTAGTGTGCTCATAAGTATTGTCTAGAAATTTCTGTTGTATTAGCATTAGAACCGCTTCAATTTCATAGCTGTTTTATTTTTAGGGACAAAGTCTAATAAAATTCAACTTAATAAAGTCAGTAAGACTGTATATAAGAAAACTAGCAGAAAGGGAAAAATTACAAATGCAAATCTATGTATAATGAAAACGCATTACATTTTTTGGAAAAAAAAATCAACATTCAGGGCCTGGTGCAGTAGCCTAGTGGCTAAAGTTCCTGCCTTGCACATGCTAGGATCCTATATGAGCACTGGTTTGTATTCCGGCTGCTCTACTTCCCTTCCAGGTCCCTGCTGGTAGCCTGGAAAAGCAGCAGAGGATGGCCCAAAGCCTTGGACTCTGCACCCACAAAGGAGATCCAGAAGAAGCGCCTGGCTTCAGATAGGTTCAGTCTTGGCCATTGCGGCCACTTGGGGAGTCAATCAGTGGATGGAAGATCTTTCCTCTGTTTCTCCTTCTCTCTGTAAATCTGACTTTCCAAGAAAAATAAATAAATCTTTAAAAATATCAATATTCAAATATATCAAAATACTCACACAGGCTTTTGGTATAGCCGTTAACACACCACTAGCATGCCCTAGCTCTGCTCCCGATTCCAACTTCCGGTAATGTACACTTCAGAAGGCAGCAAGCCGGGGCTCAAGTCACCGGGAACCTGTCACTTCCATGACAGACCTGGATCCTCAGCCCAGCCCTTTTATTAAAGCCATTTGGAGAACAAATCAGCACATGGGACACCCAGTTATCACTTTCAAATAAGATAAAGATTCTCAAAAAGTAACTGGAAATGAAGATATTAAATAATTGTTTTAATATCATCTGCCAAATTCAGCTAACCACAAGATGGGAATCATGAAGTCAACAAGTACAAAAATAAAACACGGTTCAATACAAGATGGCTAACTCAAATCCTGTTAGCTCGGGAACTACTATTTAATCAAATACAATCTGATCCAAACTCCCAGCGGGATTGCACTGAGCCTGATAACACAATTCAGCTGGAAATCTATCCAAGAAACTCGGGAAACCCAGAACAATCAGGAGGGCTGGCATAACCAGATATTAAATCAAAGTCTCAAACAAACTATTAAGACGGGTCTATATTTCCGCTGGTACATGCATGAAATGCAGGTTGGTCGGGCTTTGCCACAGCATCAGTTGGCAAATGCCGGGAATGGGAATAGGTCCTGTCAAACTAGACTGCAGCTCACCTGTATAAGATCTGGGGCTGGCACTGGGTCTGTTAGGGAAATAGTAGGCACCCTTCTCACGGGCTGCAGCTCCCACCAGTGAGCATGAGATTCAGGGCTGGGGTGGACCTGGCTGAACAGGCATTAGTACCTACCAGCATAGGTGTGGGTTGGATTAGTGGGGCTGGTTGGAGTGAGCTAGGCTGCTGCACCTATTGGTGTGTACAAGAACCAAATGGAATGCTGGACAGACTGG